CCAAGCTGCACTTCTGTCCCAGGAACCATCCACATGGATGAACCAAGAACACCTAAAGCTGAGCCCAGACCACAAATAGACACCAAAGATCCACAGACTCGGCTGAGCCACGCATGCTCAGCAACTTTCCCCAAACCGTCCATCAGCTACTTTATCCTCCACCTTCCGGGAGAAGCAAGTTGAGGGGAGGAATGAAGCCAGGAGCGTTTCTCTAGTGGAATTCTCCTCACAGAAACACGAGTCCAGAGGAACGAAGTTTCCTCTCTAAAATCCAAAAGTAGCTTGTTTCTGGCACGACATATGATTTGTGATGGATCAAGGCCATTTGGCCTCCCAAATGCCACAATCCTCTTCTAATGCCGTTGGATCGGTCCTCCACCCAAGCCTGTCTGTTCAAGGTGGAATGAGATAGCCCTGATGACTCAGGTGCCTTTATGTCCTTTCCCCAGCTTCAGAGTAGGAGCAAACTTTCTTGGAATGACATTTCAGCCTCCTGTTTCCTGCTTTCTCCCCCGGGTTACAGCAGATGGTTGGAAATTTGTGTATTACAAGAAACAAAAGAGCGTTTTGAACCTCTTCAGCTCACATGTCTCCTGGATCCCCCGTTAGACACATATAACCATTCTCAGGCTTTGTCCAAACCATAGCTTAGGGCTAGGATTAAGAGAAGATACCTGGCCAGGATGGGAGTGTGACTTCAGGCCAAACCTTCTCATAAATACATATGTGTGTATAAATACTAGGTACATATGTAGGTGTATGTAAGTAATGTAAGTATGGCTGTGTATATACATATATATGCATGTGTGCATACATATATATGTGAATAACTTGAATTGTGAATATGAATATATATGATTTTTAAAGTTGCCCTGGTAGCTAAAATTGAGGTATGTAGGAAACAAAGTATAGAGTTGCCCATTCATTCTCCTTCTGGAAGTTGGGTAATCTGATCAAGCTCCACATTGACTGTAGATGCCCAAATCTACATAAGCTGTTTAGGGAAGTTTGTGATGAGGTGAATAAATAAGCAAACCACCCAGACATCCTTTCCTTTAAGGGACAAAGGACCCAGCTCTCGAGTCTGTGCTTTTTAGATCATCTGTATATTCTAAAGTCACCAGATGATCATTCCACCCTCTACCTGCTTTGCCTTGGTTCACTCGCATTACATAGGAATACATTGTTGGGACATTCCACTTTTTATCCATATGAGGGGAACAAAATGGGCCTAGATTTCTTCCTAACTGGGTCAGGATTAGATTTGACTATGAGTCAAAGAAACACAAAACAATAACAACTTAAAAATAAGAAAGTTTATTTTTTCTCTCACAGAGACGTTGGGACAGGGAGAGTTCAGGGTTAGAACTGACAGCAAAGCTCTCCTAAGTCCTCAGGAACCCAGGCTCCTTCGACCTTGCTGTAACACCACGTGTGGCCTCCATTCACAAATTCATCTCACAGCCTCAGATAGCTGCTCCGGTTCCAGCCATTACATCAGCATTCCATCCAGAAAGAAGAAGGTGACATGGAAGAAGAAGGGAAGGACCCTTGCCAGTTGTCTTTTCAGGAAAGTACCTCAAAGATGCCATCTCACCAGGCAGGACTTAGTCAAATGAGCACAATTAACTGCACTGGAGTTTGAGAAATGTAGCTTTATTCCTAGTCACCTGGTACCAGCTGAAAATGGAGGGTATTATTTTAGGAGAGAATAGAATAAGGGGAATGACTAGCAGCCTCAGTCACACCTTGAAATAGGATGTCTTCGATCCGTGTTGGTAAATCACTGGCAATAAGCTCCCATCACCAACACTTTCACCATCAACCTCATTCAGTGCCTCAGATTCCACCACCATTCAACCCTCTCCTCCAACCAGAACGGTCTCTCTGCATCTGCTCTTGAACATGCCTTGCAGCCTTTCCTCTGTACTAGTACCTACCTTTTGTTTAGAACATCCTCCCTCTTTCTCTCTGTCTTCCTAAATTCTATCCATCTTTGAAGGCTCAGTCCAAGCCCCTCCTTCTTGGTAAAGCCTCTTCTGTCCTTCCCTTTTCCCAATAACCTCTCTCTTTTCAGAACGCCCAAATCAATCTGACACCTGGCATATGTAGGCATATATGTTGAGTTTGTGTGCACATCTTTTTCTTTCAACTAGATCTTAGGCTTCTTGTAGGTACCAAGAAAGGTAAGACGTCTCTAGACCTCTCACAGCACCTGGGCACACATGTGTTTCTAAACGTCCTGTCACTTAGAAGTCAGGGTTGGGGGAACAATCATAAAACTGAAAGCCGGGAGAAATGAATTAGAAACTGAACTCTGACCCTAAATAGCTCTGCAGCCTTGGGCTTAATTTCTCTGATCTATAAAAGGAAGGAAGTAACACCAGTCCAATCCGATCCAGAGAGCAGTGGTAAGGATCACACACACACACACACACACACACATACACACACACACACACCCCTTTGTACAATGCAAAACGCCACACAAATTTTAGGTATGCAGCTTTTGTCAAGGTTTTGTTTTGTTTTGTTGGGTTTTTTTGTTTGTTTGTTTGTTTGTTTTGCTTTTTAACTGCAAGTAATGGAAACCAACTCAGGCTAACTTGAGTAAAAAGGGTCTCTACTGGAAGAGCAGGGAAGATTCCTCACACAATCGTCAGGTACCTGGAACCCAGTCTTGGCAAAAGATGAGGAGCAAGGCAACTCTGGGGTCCAGATGGCAAGAACGGCTTGGACACCTCATCAGCAGCACCTCCAGGATGAACTAACACCAAACAAGTGCCCAACTCTGAGCCGCTCTCTCCGATGCGAGTCCTGGGAGGGGGTTGTTGGCCGATCTTTGGTTATGTGTCCCTCCTCCTTGGTTACAACAGCCCAGGTCACCCTGATTTATAGTCCCACAAAGTCTACCCACGATGAAGAAAGGTCAAAGCCCTGAAGGAAATCAAGGTGATGCTATCAGTAGAGTGCGTGGAGGCTGGATGGCCAGAAAGCAGCAAATGTCCACAATCGGCTTAATAAGCACGTGTTGATTGAGGGTCAGTGGCCCACTCCTTTGACTCTGAAGCCATTTTGCATTATGAGATATTTTAAGCAACTTCTCCAGACCTTATCAGTGAGCACCTTGGAAAACATCCATTTATCAGATCCCTTCCACCCACGCCAGTTAGAACAAGACCTTGTAGAGAGGAGACACCAAACTACTTACTAGATGAGGGGAGGGCACTGGAAGGGATGAAGAAAGTCTCAGCTCTGCCATTATTCTTTAAGTTTGGAACTGACAAATTCTTTCCTCTGTTTCCCAATTTTGATTCCTGTGAGGTCCACCTGGAACTCTCCTTCTCAGCCTGTGATCTGGGCTCCCACTCTCATCTCTGCCCTAACGTCTAAGCCCCCAGGTGACAGATGGCTGCAGAAAACTCCCATGACCTGGCTGCTTCTCCTTGGGAGTCAGAGTACTTAAGGTGCCTTTGGAACTGGAATTTTATCTGTGTGCCTCTAAAAAATAAAACAAAACAGACCACTCCTCGACAACTGTAAATCAGGCTACGGAAGACCCAACGCTGAGATTTAAAGGAGCTACAGTGAGACTAGGAGCCTCCTTATATCCAGTGAACCAGGGTGGGTGTGTTTTTCTTCTTCCTTGAATATGGTCTGAGACTCCCCTTCATCAGTGACCAGACCCCAAGAGCAGCGTGTGGCCCCTGGCACAGTAACCGACACACATTGGATGCTCACCACGTGCCCAGTGCGGGGTGAAGTGCTTCACGTGGGCTTTCTCACTTACCCTCCTAACCCCTCTGAGGCAGCCGCGACACGTACCCTGCCTGCCAATGGCTGAGGCTCAGAGGCTCAGCAGGGGGAAGTAACTGGCCCAAGGCCACGCAGTCAGTAAGGGGGAGGAGCTGGATTCGATCTAGGCGTGCCCCCCCTTTCAGCTGGAAGGGGAAAGAGAGAAGAAGAAAGGAAACACAATCCCCTGTGAAATCTTGGACGGAAGACAGGTGCCCTTCTAACACCAGTTCCCTCCCAGAGCTTGCATGTGAGCAAAAATACGAATTTCCATTGTGTTTGAGTGATTATCAGATCGGGAGGGGTGGTCACAGAAGGCAGCATTAGCCCTGTCCCTGCACGCAGGCGGCTAACCCAGCTCTGCAGACTGCTTTGAGAAGGCCAAGTCTAGGCTGATCCTGCGGGATGAGTAGTTGTCGGTTAGGCAGACACGATGGGTGAAGGTCTCAGCCTATGCTCTCTGGAAGCTGGAGGTGAAACCAGGGCTGGCCCGGTGGAGGCCAGTCTGAGATAGAGGCTTCCTGGGTGGGCTCCACTCGCCCAGTTTCTCTCCTTCCAGGCCCTCAGTGAGAGGGGAGCCAACCTCTAACGTGGGGTGCATGAGCTCAAGGTGGGGGTGGGAGGGTCTGAACAGTTGCAGGTGGGTGAGGAAACATACAAAACAATGGTGACCCCCTCTGAGTATGTCTTGTGGTCTTACGGCCACACTGTCTCCTGACCTCTTTTCTCCATAAATGTAATCATCACCCATCCATATACCACATTGAAAATTGCTGAGAATTGTGGGAGAATCTATCAGGGGAGCCACTGTCTGTTGCTCTGACCCTGATCCTGGCAAGACATCTGCCTTCGGACCTGCGTGAAGAAACTTCCTCCTGCCCCATGACTCCGCTCCGATTCCTAAGCAAATGTTCTCATGATGTGTATCAAAAACTGCTCTGCCTCGAGGGAGTGAGCTTGCTGGTGAGGATGGAATGCTCCTGGTGCCTCCTTCTTGGGGAGGAGGGAGGGGTGTGTGTAAGGACTGAGGTCTCTGAGTCCCTGTTGGCAGGAGGGTAAAAGCCACTTCCTCCTTATATTTTGCTCTAGACACTCAGTCACTCTTTCCCTTCATGTAAAGCTTCTTCCACGTCCCTGTTGACAAAAACATCCAGGTTCCCCAGTTCCCTGCCCACCAGCCCTGCCCTTGAATAAACACCAACTCATTTGTAAGAGGTTTTTAATTTCATCTTGGTACGCCATTAAGGAGTGGAGTAAGGATCTCATTCGTTCTCATTCACATAGAGTCTGCTACATTCTCCAACTGATCCTCACCACGGAAGCCCGCAGGGCCATTACAGCATCTGCACGATTTTCACTCACCAGACTGGTTTGGGTTTCTTGGTGGTTTGCATAAATTATAAAAAAAAGAGCACAAAAATCACACAACATAGACTCAGCCCATCAGGGGGCGCGTCCCCTCTGGCCATGCAGAGCGTGATGGGGACCAGCGGTTGGGTCCGGGGTCTGGTGATGGGTGACATCCCCAGGAGTGAGGCCGAGCCTGTCCTGGCCCCTCTCAGAGATGTCCTCCGTCTTCCCCATCAACCCGCTCTGGTTTCTCAGGAAGCCTCCTACCACAGAAGTGGCCCGTCCTAGCACCACATGGGAGGACAGGGGCGGAACTGTCCCCATGTACAATGGCAGCTGGGTCTTCTGTGTGCAGCGTCAGGAAAGCGCTGGAAGGAGGAGCCCTGGGTCTCCACCTGGACCCCCTCTGTCTCTATAAGCTCCAAGAGGCTGTTAGCAAACAGAGCCTCTGGGACAGGGGTCAGCAAACTTTTTATATAAAGATCCAGACAGTACAGACAGTAACTGTTTCAGGCTGTCTGGGCCACATCCAATCTGTTGCATATTCTTCTCCTTCTTGTTTTTTTACAACTTTTTAAAAATGTGAAGACTCTTCTTAGGGGGCAGACCATAAAATGCAGGCCTGTAGGCTGCAGTCTGCCAGCCCCTGGTCTAGAACACCACGATGCCCTGTGCAGCCCATCGGTCACAGCCGCCTCCCCACTGAAGGCCTCTGGCACCCCCCTGAGCTGCCCTGAGCTGGTGCCTGCAGCCCAGGCTTTGCAGAAGGGGCTGTGGCAGGCAGAGTGACCCTCAAGTCCTTGCTCAGCAGCCCCAGGTGTCCTCCTTTGCCAAGTGGCTGGTTGGGCTCGTTGGATTTTAGGCAAATACTAGATGTTAGTTTCAGCTCTGCTCATGGGTCCTGGGGGTGAATTAAGCTTCAGTGTCCCCAGTGAGGTAGGTACATGCTATCAGCCTCATCCCACACTTGCAGATACTGAAGTTCAAGAGCAGAACTGACTTTCCCAGTGCTACCCAAGAGCCACGTGACCACATTTCAAGGAAAAGCCAGAGTCTAGGCTTTAAGTTCTTGAAGGACACGATCAGGGATTGTTCTGTCCCTTCAAAGCCCAGTGGTTCAACCTCAAACAGCAAGAATCCACGGGTGAGGGCTGTCAGCCACACAGAGTTGCTCTCCAGACTCCGATGACACTCTCTGAAAACAGAACTGACTCAAGCACTCAAAGCTACGGGCCTCGGTGGAGCAGCTCTCACTGCCCTGCCCACAAATCTCTTCCAACTAAAAATAAAGTTTATAAAAGTAAATTATCTCGTTTTATAACTTAAGTGCATCAAGCATTTCCTTAAATATAGTTCACACTGAAAATAAAGTTACTTTCTGCTGTACAGTTGGTGTCTGTTATAATTAGGAATAAACTTTGATGATAAAGTTTGAAAGGTATATCACACTCACGCACACATCTATCTATCTGTCTGTCTGTCTGTCTGTCTATGGGTGTGTGGATGGGTAGACATATGCACCTCTCAACAAGAGCTTCCCTCAATGGGAGGAAGCTGTTAGGAGTCTCTAGGTACCTAGTTTGCATGAGAATGCCTATATTAAAAGTCCCTGTCCTTAAGGATAAACTCATCTTCATACCTAACACTAAGACTCTTATTAGAAACATTAAACTATGCAATCCGTAATGTATTCAGTCTTTGGAAATGCCGAGCTACACCACAGCATGATACAACAGCATCCCCGACAAAGCTCCCTGCCCACCCTACCTCTTCCCTGGCCTCCCCTCCAAAAGCCAGCCGACCCCTCACATCACACGGCTGGTTCCATCACAGGAGCCTAGCCACAGGACTTGAGGGGAGGACTCAAGAGGTGAAGTAAGAATTCTGCATGGAGTACAGGTGGTCGATGGGGTTCCCCACTCTGGGCTGCAGGGGCCCAGCTTCGGAGGTTGCTAGGAAACAGTCACCCAGGTTACTGAGGGAGGTGTCGTCACTATCCAGGTCGTGGAAAAGGGGCTCCGCACCTGAAATGGAGATGAAAGACAAGCATGAGGGTCTGGGAGAAGCAGACCCACTTGGCGCTCGGGAAATGCAACTGAACTCAGCAAGTGGGTCTGAGCATCTCCCCCCAACCCCCGGGGGGGGGCGGGGAAGCTTTCCACTGGGTGCTGGGCGGGGGGTGGAGGGTAGGGAAGAGCTACACAGAAGAAGAGGAAGGACCATAAACCCTGTCCACAAAAGATCTCCGGTCTCCTTAGGGGGCTCATGTCTAAAATGCAACAGCTGAGAATGACCTGAACTGGGTAGGAGACCACACGATGCTAAACTGAGTGCCGAAAACACAAATGTCAGCATGTTTAACCGGTGAGGGTGGGGAGCGGGCAAGACACAGCACCACCGGCTGGAGAGACAGGGGCAGGGCTCTGAGAGCTCTCTGGCCAGGAAAATGGTTCTTGAAGGAAGGACGCTAAGGAAACAAACACCAGCTCTGCGAAGGATGCTCATGAAACCTCCAGTGATAACACTTGTCCCTTCTAACAGCACGCATGTCCCCAGATGTGTGCTGTGAAGGGAAGGCAGGTTAGGTGCCCACGCTCAACCAGTGTACATTTCTGACAAAGAAACTGACAGGGTCAATGGAGGAGCAGCTGGGGGACCGCCACGACCAGGACCTGGAGGCTGGTACATTCCACCTCCACTTTAAGTAAACGGGAGAGATGAAAACCACAGTTTAGAAGGTGTGTCATGTGGTTGTAATTCATTTTACTAAAGGCTGCTTCACAGGAGTCCTTTATGTAACAAGACCCCTAGGACTCTCAAGATGTAAGAATTTGCAAAAAAAGTCCTTTGCCCTGTTTCTGCACAGCCATGGAGTGAAGACAGGTACAGGGAGTAAAGGGGATGGGCTGTGACTGGAGCGCACGCATATACATCCACGTGAGCATGCATGAAGGAGGCTGGCTGGTGAAGTCCCTGCAAAGGGCCAGCTCTTGATAAATGTTTGCTGAATGCATCATGTGGGAAGACAGGGCTGACTTTACCAATAGAATTTTTTTTTCAATGAAGGCCAAAAAGAAGTTGACAAAATTTGTGAGCTGAGCTGTGTATCTCTGATACTGACATTCCAAAGGCTCGTTGAATAAAGCTTTGTGTTTAGCTATCAGGGTTACTGACTGCACATTTCACAGCACAGATGAATGAATCACATAGGCCACTTCCCTTCCCTGTATACAGATGCAGCGGCCTCCACTTGGCCCTGAGACTGAACTTCAGCCTCCCACACCAGAGCCTGCCCACCGCATCAGGGTGCCCAGGCCCCAGCTTGTGTCCATCAGCTTAAGCAGCAAGCCGGGCAGGCTGGGGGCCTCAGCTGTCCCTACACTCGGCATTTAAAGCATCCTGCACTTGGCTGGGACAGGGCTGGAGAAAGGGTACTCTTCACTTCACAAATCAGTTTATGTTCCAGGAATTATATTGGAACACCTACTAGTATCAGTAACAGGATAGTCCACATAGAACACTTGTTTTCTCTGCTTTTCTGTATATTTTTTTCTTATGTAAGAGTTTGCTTAATTAAGGCCTCAGCCTAGACCACTGATGTTGCCTGTGATGTGTAAGTGTGGTTCCTGGTGTGAAATGGAAGACTTGAGAAATTCAATCCCGACAGACAGGTCTGCAATGAACACGGAAGCTCCTATTCAAACGAACAAAGAAGCAGCTTTGAAGAGGAGAATAAATGGAAACACTACTAATGGATGTGTGTGCTGGTCTTTCCTCTGTAGCCATCGGTTAGGTGATTCTAGCAGTATCTTGTGGGACACTTACTCTGCTCTGGAATTTCAGTGAGCATGTAGGAACCGTGTAGAGGTGCCTGGGTGGAAACAAAAAACTCACGCAAGTTGTGCAAGGTGCCTGTGGGGCTTGAGTCCCTCTTACCATAGGGGTGCATGTGGTCTCCAGGCATCTGGGGTGGGGTGAGACCCTGTCGGAAGGGATCTGAGCTGTAGACGCTCTGCTCGATGGCCAGGAGCTGCTGCGGGGTGGGCAGCGCCGTGTAGGGGTTCATGATCCCTTCCATCCCAGCGCTCCCGCCACCATTTGTCTGAGCTGTGGGACAAAGAAGAAGAAAGATCATTCTCCACATGCAGCCCAGCATCCCACTCTGGGAGGGAGGGGCACAGAACTCTCCCCACTGGCTGGTGGCCACCCAAGTTGTGTGACCATGGCTAGATCTCTGGCTTCCTGGATCTTGATTTCCTCATTTGTAGAATGGAAAGGTTGAGGTGACATCAGTGGTTCCCAGCCTGCGTCCTACCATGGGCCATTGGGGATCACCTTGAAGGATGAGGATGTCAGGGAGCTGAACTTGGAGAGCTTCTTTGAACTATGTCATTGAAACAAAAGCACTTGAATGCTACCCACTGGTTTGGCAGCCACTGGAGTGGATGCATCTAGAGATCCTTCCAGCATCTTCCCACTAGGAGCCCATCAGTCAAGAGAGGTTCACGACCCAGCTGACTTCATGGAGCCAATATGAAGACTCCAGGAGATTGTGTGTATGTGCTGTAGAACCTCAACTTGCTACACTTGTACATAGAGTTTTATCAGAAAAGGAGGACTCAGTTCCTGCGTCCAAATCTGGCTATGGTTTTCTGAACATGGGGTCCGTTAACTCTCAGAGATTTTATCTTCCACCAGCTTCTGCCTTCTTGAGTCTACCCTAGGAGCTGTCTGTAGAATTCTTCAGAGTTCCAAACACTAGGAGTTTGTGATCTCATAATGCCTCATTGTGTTCTTCTCTCTTTGAGTGTGTTGGCCTATGGGAGTCAACTTGCTTGTCCTGTCCTAAAGTCCTCTCATATCTGTGACCCTTTTTGAGGTTCAGAGGGCTGTGAGATGGGACCAGCAGGCACTGTTACCCTACCCTAGGGATGCAAGCCTGAGGCACAAGGAGGCGGAAAGGCAGGTCTCAGAGCAAACAGCACTGCAGGTGGAGCTGGGGCAAATTCAGGTCTTCTGACCAGTGTAGGGCTCCACCCTAGCCCAGTGCTCACGTCCTTGCTTCATGTCTCTCCGTGAGCATCTATCTTGCTATTGAAATAGTATTTGGCCTAGAAGATGAGAAGCTAAGGGAACTTTTGGCTGCAAGAGTCAAGTTCTAGATTGAGCCTAGCTATCAGGCACAGGGTGAGGTCCACATGAGATAAGGGGCTCTTTAAGGGCCAGACACCACTGACACATTCCACAGCCTTCTACGCATGGTCCACAGGCCAGCAGCAGTGAGAGCTTGCTAAAAATGCAGAATCTCTGGGCCCACCAAGGACTTAAGAAACAGAATCAATACTTTACCAAATAATCAGGTGATTTAGGTGCACGTTAAAGGGTGAGAACTCCTGCTCTAGGGCACAAACAAACCACTCAGGAAGTTCTGCTGGATGGACAGCTGAGTTGGGGAACAGATCCCTTTAAGGATGACATTGGCCTAACAGAGTTATCCTTGCTTCTTTCCTTGTAACTTCCTTGAAGGGTCCCACAGGCTGCCCCTCTTCACACTCTCCCCAAACCTCACACCGCCTCTGTTAAAAACAACAAATGAAGGTACATGGAGGTAAGGGTGAGTCCAGGCGGCATGGCCCAGTGGAACTTAGAACCAGAGAGACGGGGTCCAGTCCCAGCTCTTTTATTGATCTAGGACAGTGGCTGGTCTTGAAGAGCCTCTGTGTGCTCATCTGTAAGATGGAAATGTTAATAACTTCTCTGCTCCCCTCGGTGGCAGGGGGTGCTTTGAGTCAGGTCAGCACGTGCGGGAGCAAAAGTGCTCAACAAAGGAGGGCATTTTTATTTCCCTATCATTATTCTGACTACTTTCTGTTATTCTGGGAAGGGGTAAGTCACAGTGGCGTCTTCTGTTAAACTGATTTGTCTGGAAGAAGGAGGGCCAGGCAGGATGAGAAACTGGGCGTGTGTCTGAGTCTGCAGGTCGTCCAGACGCAGTGCCCTGACACTAGGGAAGGGTTCGGGAAAGGGGGCCTGGGACGAGGTTAGTGCCATCTCCAGCCTGCTGTTCTGGGCAGGTGCCCTCAGCCCGCTCACAGTTCTCATGGTTCCGTCCCTCCCGGCAGGTCCCATCTCCCAAGCGGGTGTGGACTGGGCTTCCTGGAGCCCAGAAACGTCATTCCAAGGTCTTTGGAGGCCTCTGGCAGGAGAGGCGAGGGCGGCGGCGAGGCCGGGCCGGAGCTCCCGGCAGCTTACCGGAGCTCAGCCTCTGGCTGTTCTGCTGGTCCTGCTGCTGCTGCTGCTGCCGCCGGGCTAACTTCTTCATCTGACGAGGAGAGGAGCGCAGGGTTAGAAGGCAGGTGGCCCGCAGCAGGTTCCCAGGGCGAGGCAAGGGAGAAATGGCTTGTGGGTAAAGTGGAGGGACCCCTTCCCCGGCTTTTACTCAGGAGAGGAACCAGGGAACCACGCTTCAGGAGCAGCGGCTGAGGGCTTTGCACATCTGCCCGCGGACAGACAGCTGGCGGGGGGTGGGGCGCAGAGCACAGCGCGGCTGGTCTTAGCAGAAACAGAGATTTCCTCTCCGCACATAAAACGTGCCGCTTATGTTGTGACAGTTTTATGTGCGGCATCAGTGAGGGGGTGTGGGGTCTGCAGCCCGGCTCAGATGTGCAGCCAGGGCCTGCTGACAGGGTGTGATGATTTGGGATGAGTCAGGAGGCTGATCCTCCCCCCGACCCCGTCACTCCCCTATCTGCTGGCCCTCGTGGCCGAGACACCGACCAGGAGATGCGCGCCTCCGGATAAGGAGCTGGTCTCCCAAAGCACCCTGTTAACACACAAATTTCCCAGGAGGAACATTTCAACCCCATGTTTCTCAAACTGTGTGCTGTGAAACAGCAGGGTTCTGTAAGACATTAATATAAACTTTGAGTGTGTGTGTGTGTGTGTGTAGGAAATACTAGATTTAAAAAACAAATTCTTTACTGCAAGACTTCTCAGAGCTTCAAATATGCTCTCTGCTTTAAGAATCCATAGCTTATATATCCTCTTAGGATCTTCCCATGAAAGGACCATGGCACACACATCAACAGCCCTGGTCTGAGGAGTTCAGCTGGGGAAATGCCACCTTAACCAACATGATCGGCTAATGAGATAGGAATTTATCACCCACTGAAGATGAGGGCTCTAGAGAAATGGGCCACTAACACACGCACGTGGAGGGGGCAGGAAAATGTATGAGTAAAGGTCTCAAATAAATAAAAGACCACGGCAGGGGGGACACAGACCTGGGGGGACCCAGAGGACAACGTGATGGTTTGGGCCTATAACAGGGAGGGGTGGGGCACTGGGAAAGGTGAGGAAGGACTTCCACTCCACGTGCCACAATGTTGTCTTAGACTAATCACATGGGTGCTTTGTAGATTTCTTTCTGAAATTTAAAAGGAACTCTGGTATCTGGGTTGAATGAATATGAATTTAAGAACCCGCTTTTACCAAAAGACACAAGAAGGGTATTTCTTCATGCAGACGGCTGCCCAGATTGACAGTCACGGCCACTAGGAACATAACAGCCATCTCACAGAAACAAGTGCCCTGCCTCTCCGCCTCTGCAGGGCTGCTGCGGCCGAAAGGACCACTGATCACAGAATTTCTGAATCAGGAGAACTACTCCGTTTGATGCATTGAGGTTAGAAAACCTGCCGGGAAGTACAGTGTCCGGCTACTGTTTCAGGAAAGCAGCCACACGGAGACAGACAGAAGTACGGAGCAGATTACCTTAGCTCTCTGGTTCTGGAACCACACCTGCACGACGCGGACGCTCAGCCCTGTCTCTGCGGCCAGGGTCTCCCTCACCTTGAAAGAATGGAATGTCAGAAATACAGAAATATTGGCATCTCGGAGGAGGAGGCAGAACACTTGCTACGCAGCGTGCGGAGAGGCCAACGGGCCACGTCTTGCATAGCGGCTGGCTGGCGTATAACGTCCAGCAAAATCCCAAACACAAGAACGTTGCTTCCCTTCAGGTGGAGAGAAAGCCCTTCTCCTGGTAGACAGGGAGAGGAAGACACATTAACTTAGATGTGTCTTCC